TTCCCCTCAAAAAGAAGCCTTCCCTTCCACTAGTGGGGCTCTCGGCAGGGGAAAATGACAGATGGTTCGCGAGGGGGGAAAAATGAATAAAGTCAAAATAAAGTCCGTCTCCAGGCGTCGGCCCCGCGGGCGCATCTCCGGCCCGTCCCGTCAGGTTACAGGTCTCTTAACCCGCGAGGGGGACGGACGGACGTTTTCGGGCACAAGAACTCGGTTCTCCACCGCCTTGGGTCGAAACACACCTCGGTATTGATCCGGACTAGCCCCCCGCCTCTACCCTGTGTTTCGTGAACGACGGAGAAGAGGAGAGGGAGAGGAGCTGGGAGCGCAGGAGAACAAAGATGGCGGCCCGCCCGGTTACCTGCGCGCACGGCCGGCCGCTGGCCCAGGTGGCGGAGAAGTTGGCGTCGTGGTGGTTTACGCGACAAAAAGTTGCGCCCCCTGGACTTTCTGTCGTAAAAAATAAAAAACCCCAAAAAAGTCCGTCGGGGGGTGTCGTTTCGGAGGACGCAAAGCCCGAAAAGCCCGACAGAGAGAACTCAGAAACACGGCAGTTCCGCAGGAGTTAAAAAAAGGTGATGTCAAAACCCCCCAAACGACAAAAAGAAACCCGTGCGTTTTGGAGAATAAACTCGCTACAAACTACCGAGGTACGGAACGGACCCGAGTTAGACTCGCTTTGGACAACAACAAAAAACAACAAAACAAAAAACGACAAAAGCCACAAACCTTCAGCTCTCAAATCTTTCGAGTCGTGTTATTTAGTCCCCGGAAATATATATATATATTTGTTGTTGTTGTTGTTGTTCCCTCAAAAATAAACTTCGCCCCACAGGGAAAAAAAACAACAACAACAACTAAAAAGCGTCCGACTGATGTAAATTCGTGGTTTTGTTTTGATTTTTTTTTTAAATATATTGTCCCAGAGAACGAGGTGTGTTCGAACACGGCGGGGCTGGGCTCCAGTTCCTTTGAGAGAGACCAAGCGGCCGCACTGTGAAGGGGGAGTCGTTTCGCTCACCAAAACCGGTCAATAACTCCTGTTGTGTGTGTGTGTGTGTCCCGCCGCCGCCGAACCCCTGACCCTCCGCCCGGACCGTGATGACACCCCCCGCCTGACCGGCTCAAGCTTCGCCTCGTCCGAAAACTGCTTTTCTTTCTTTCTCCCTCTCTGGGAAGCCTCGGCCCGAGGTTTCGCTTCAAGGGGAGCCCGAGTTCGGGACGACTCCCCGTGGGCCGATACCCCGCGGCCGGACAGGTGTGTGTGTGTGTCACAGACCGGACTGAATCTCTTCCCTCCTGCCCTCTCAGACGACACAGGCCCTCCTAGGATCGCACAGCACGGCCGTCCCGACAGCTTGGTTCTGTTTAACACAATAGGGGCCGGCGACCACGGAGTTTGATCTTCTAAAGGAACAGAAATGCCCAATCGATTGATCAATCGGTCCCCCACTTCCTCCTCGCTAAACGTACCCCCCCCGGGGGGTATTTCCGAACCGCCTGCTCACTTGGGCTTGGGCTCGGTTCGACTCCGGCCCGCCCTCACCGCAAACGGGGGGAGGTTTTATTTATTTTATTTTTTTGGTGGGGTAACAACCCGACCCGCTCGGGTCCTGCTAACGCGAAGTATCTCCCGGCTCCAGCGGGGCGGGCGGGCGGGGGTTGTTTCCGCCGTGCCTGTCCTTATTAAGGAATATGGGATAAAAGCGCCGACTCCTCCTTCTCCCCCACACACACACACAAACACACAAACAGCTGCCTGCGCGTCACCTCCCGGAGCACAGAGAGGAGAAAATTCCCCCGACAGCGCGTTTACACCCAGAAACTCGCCACGACTCCCGGGAGTGCGGCCGTGGGTCTGCACCCCACCCCAGCTTGGTCTGTTCTGGCCGGGTGGGTGGGTGGTGGGGGTGCTGTGTTGTCTTTTCGGGGAGGTCCAAGGTCTGGTTTTCCTTCTCCACGTCCTCTGATCGAGTTGCCGGCCCTTTATCGATTTCCGTTGTGTTCAATAGTGTAAAACTCCATTTCAACGTCGCAAAGCGGGCCCGCCCTCTCTCTCTCTCTCTCTCCTTCTCTGCCTGCGAAAAGTCCGGTCCAGCTCGGTTCCGGGTCGGGCTGAGCTGCTGGGCTGCGGGGTCAGGAGCCACCAGCTCCCCGCTCCTCCCCTTCACGCGTGGGGGGGCCCAGGAAGACCTCCTCCGTGACTCTCCCCCCCCGGTCCCACACCCACACACACTTCCTCGCCGTCTCCCGAATTCCTTTCCACCGAGCCGGCAACACTGGGCTGTCGGGCGCCGAGAAACCCCCTTAAAAACGACTTAATCCGACTTGACAGGGGACCAGTCCCGGGTCCAAAACTCTCCCGATCCCCACAGCGCTCAAAGTCCGGCCAAAGTTCGACCGCGATTCCCAAAAACCCAGAGAAGTTGGACCCTCCTTCCTTAAACAATTAAAGGGTTAATTCCACGACACGGGAGACGAAGCAGACTCCTGCAAGAAAGAACCAAAAAAAAATAAATCCTTCTCTTCCCCCTCCAGAGCCGAACCCGAGAGAAACACCGGCTGGTTCTTCGCTACCAATACACTCGCGTTGCGCCCCTGCCCGCCTCTATTTAAACCAAGAAAAAAAAAAACACCACCAACAACAACAACGTTTAAAAGGAGTTAGATCGAGTCGACCCTCCCCTCCAAAAAAACACCGCCGTTTAAC